GCCAACAGAACCTAAACACCTAACCTAACCTATGCCTATATATATGCACAATATGCTAATATATTATAATATTAATTTATATTTGAGAATATTTACGTTTTGAAAGAACAGCATGTCAAAATTTATGAATGCGTCTGTGGGGTCGACCGCTGGATGGAATGGACTTGAGTCGAAGACGGGTTGTCAGAGGACGGGTTGCAGTTAATAGCCTTTAAGCAGAACTCCATCTTAAATTTTCTCTTACCCTTGATAGCGTCAATTTAGATTATACAGTTCAGTTTTGATCATCGTACTACAGTATGGACATGAATTCCCTTGAGTGTTTATAGATAAGGATAAAGTTAGTCCAAGGAATTAAAAATCTCCTTTATGAAGAGCGATACTACAGTATGGACATGAATTCCCTTGAGTGTTTATAGATAAGGATAAAGTTAGTCCAAGGAATTAAAAATCTCCTTTATGAAGAGCGATTAAGAAAGCTTAATTTACATACACAAGAGAGGCAATTAGTAGGTGACATACCTAACATGCAAATGAATGACAGGGTCTACTAGTGAGCGTGTGAGTAAGGTACTGTATATATGACTAAGATATTGTATATATGAGTAAGGTATTATGTATATGAGTAAGGTCTTACATATATGAGTAAGGTCTTACATATATGAGTAAGGTCTTACATATATGAGTAAGGTCTTACATATATGAGTAAGGTCTTACATATATGAGTAAGGTCTTACATATATGAGTAAGGTCTTACATATATGAGTAAGGTCTTACATATATGAGTAAGGTCTTACATATATGAGTAAGGTCTTACATATATGAGTAAGGTCTTACATATATGAGTAAGGTCTTACATATATGAGTAAGGTCTTACATATATGAGTAAGGTCTTACATATATGAGTAAGGTCTTACATATATGAGTAAGGTCTTACAGATATGAGTAAGGTCTTACATATATGAGTAAGGTCTTACATATATGAGTAAGGTCTTACATATATGAGTAAGGTCTTACATATACGAGTAAGGTCTTACATATACGAGTAAGGTCTTACATATATGAGTAAGGTCTTACATATATGAGTAAGGTCTTACATATATGAGTAAGGTCTTACATATATGAGTAAGGTCTTACATATATGAGTAAGGTCTTACATATATGAGTAAGGTCTTACATATATGAGTAAGGTCTTACATATATGAGTAAGGTCTTACATATATGAGTAAGGTCTTACATATATGAGTAAGGTCTTACATATATGAGTAAGGTCTTACATATATGAGTAAGGTCTTACATATACGAGTAAGGTCTTACATATATGAGTAAGGTCTTACATATATGAGTAAGGTCTACATCCTGCTGACTAGACAGTACTTACAGCAACCATATGGACCAGCGAACAGATATTGACGTAATGGACAATTTTAAAGTAGAATTTGGTGCCATGGAATTTGGACAAACTGGAAAAGGTTCTGTATTTACGTTATTAATAAAACCTAACCTAGGCATCCTAGGCCTAATATATGCCAAGGCCTAATTTAGTACATATGCCATACATACGAAAGAGCAAAGCTCATTAATAAAACCTAACCTAGGCATCCTAGGCCTAGTATATGCCAAGGCCTAATTTAGTACATATGCCATACATACATATGCTATAATAATGCTATACTAGGCTATGCTAGTAATGCTATATTAGGCTTGGGAATGTTAAAGTTTGGTTTTATCTTTATTTTGTCCAGAGTCCATAAAGTGAATCAGTTTAGACTCAGAAAACACCTGTTTGGCAAAAAGGCCAAACAGGTGTTGGCCTGTAATACAACAGGTGTACTTGTGGAACAAATTTCCGGGTAAAGTAATGAGACGTAGAATCACTGGAGTGTTTCAAGTGTAGGCTAGACACATATACGAATGAGCTTACTTGCGTAGAATTAGGAGCTCCCACGCATGGGTTCATAAACTTCTGACTTTCCTTTATTTTGATGTACTTATGTAGTACATTGGAGATGCCACAAATACCGTGGGAGGACCTGACTCTTGATCCAGCTCTATAGGAACCACATCAGGTCCAGCTACGAACCCATTTGGTGGACCAGAGGGCCACCATCTCTCTAGTGGCCTCGAAGAGGACAGGAATCCGGTGGCTTGTCAACCCCGACCATTACATGAAGGTGTCTTTGGGGTCGGCGGCAGCTTGGGCAAGTATCGTCTGAGGAAGAACTGCTTTATGAGTTCGTCGAGCAGTAGTCTCCAGGTTCGGAAAAAGCGCTTGGATCGCCAGACTTCATTGTGGCCAGTCGGTCAATAGGCAGCAAACACAAACTCCTCAGCAATGTTATTACCAAACAACACTCATCAATCATCATCAATCAAGGGGGCAAGAGACAAGCGAACCTCACAATAATCGTACTGGAGACGGCCAGGGCGGGAGGCGGAAGGTGCCCCTCTCTAGTCTCACCCTTTACAGTTATTGGTGCAGCGTCGTGGCCTTCTGGGCGACGCTCTGGTGAGGTGAACAAATCCACAAGGGCAGTGGCGAGGATTCGAACCTGCGTCTGGGAGCATCCCAGACACTGCCTTAATCGACTGAGCTACGACAGGGTAAAAGGTTGATGCATCACGTTAGTGTGATCTCTGTGTGCTCTGGTGAGGTGTGAGGAACAACAGGGTAGACACGGGGCTCCCATGAGAGACGATGGGAACGAAGGGAGAGGAGGAAATGAGAAGGAAGGCGATGAGTGACAATAATGTAGCTGAAGAATGTTGACCAGACCACACACTAGAAGGTGAAGGGACGACGACGACGTTTCGGTCCGTCCTGGACCATTCTCAAGTCGATTGAGAAGGGACGACGTTGTCGTCCCTTCACCTTCTAGTAAGTGGTCTGGTCAATATGAGAAGGAAGATGAGGAAGATCAGGAAGCGGATGATGAGGTTAATGCACAGCCTTGCAGCGGAGGTGACCATGACTGGCTCCATCTGACACCTGTCTTAACCTGCCTCGCATTTTATTACCTGCGAATATTATTCTTTACATTTTTAACATTTCTTGCTATCATTTTATTGACGATTTTCTCTTGTTTTCCTTTCTGTCTTTCTCGTCTTCAAGTTATCTTTTCCTTCTCTTCCTCCTACACTTGGGTCCTTTGCGACCTGAAATGATGACAAGGGGAGGGAAGTCTCCAGGTGAGAGGTCAGAGGTCAAGGGTCAAGACAAGGGTTCACGGGCTGATGCCCTTGTTGGCTTTGGTCAGTAACTGGACGAATAACCAATTCAACGCTCCGTCCTCTACTCCTATAGTATATATGCTATCCTTAATAGTATCAGCACGCACACACACGCACACACGCACACACACACACACACACACGCACACACACGCACACACACACACACGCACGCACACACATACACACACACACACATACACACACACGCCGGTGGACAGCACGCTGGACAGGTGATCCTGTGGTCCCGGGTTCGATCCCGGGCGCCGGCGAGAAACGATGGGCAGAGTTTCTTTCACCCTATGCCCCTGTTATATAGCAGTAATGCTAGGAATGTTACCTAGCAGTAAATAGGTGCCTGGGAGTTAGTCAACTTTCACGGGCTGTTTCCTGGGGAGTGTGTACTCACCTAGTTGTGCTTGCGGGGGTTGAGCTCTGGCTCTTTGGTCCCGCCTCTCAACTGTCAATCAACAGGTGTACAGGTTCCTGAGCCTTAATAGTGTGTGTGTGTGTGTGTGTGTGTGTACTCACCTAGTTGTGTTTGCGGGGATTGAGCTCTGGCTCTTTGGTCAATCAACAGGTGTACAGATTCCTGAGCCTATTGGGCTGTACGGAGTGTGCGTGTGTGTGGTGTGGGGAAAAAAAGTAGTAGTAGAAACAGTTGATTAACAGTTGAGAGGGGGGCCGAAAGAGCAGAGCTCAACCCCGCAAGCACAACTAGGTGAAAACTACTAGGTGAATACACACACACGCACACAGGGGAGGACCTGGTAGCCTGGTGTATAGCGCGAAGAACTCGTAATTCCGTGGCGCGGGTTCGATGCCCGCACCAGGCAGAAACAAAGAAACAAATGGGCAAAGTTTCTTTCACCCTGAATGCCCCTGTTACCTAGCAGTAAATTTCGAGTTAGTCAGCTGTCACGGGCTGCTTCCTGGGGCGTGTGTGTGTGTGTGTGTGTGTGTGTGTGTGTGTGTGTGTGTGTGTGTGTGTGTGTGTGTGTGTGTGTGTGTGTGTGTGGTGTGCAGAAAAAAAAGTAGTTAGTAAACAGTTGATTGACAGTTGAGAGGCGGGCCGAAAGAGCAAAGCTCAACCCCCGCAAACACAACTAGGTGAATACAACTAGGTGAATACACACGAGTCGATACCTAGTTAAACATAAGACAAAGTTAGAGAAGATTCAAAGGTATGCCACCAGACTAGTCCCAGAACTGAGAGGTATGAGCTGCGAGGAAAGGCTATGGGAGCTAAACCTCACGTCCCTGAGGAAGAATTTGTAGTAAGGGGAGTAGAGTAAGGGAAGACATGATAGCTACCGACAAAAGTCTCAGGGGAATTGACAGGGTGGAGAGAGACAAATTATTTAGCATGGGTGGAACACGAACAAGGGGACACAGGCGGAAACTAAGTACCTAAATGAGGTACAGAGACATTAGAATTTTGTTTTCAGTGTCAGAGTAGTTAACAGATGGAATGCACTAGGAAGTGATGTGGTGGAGGCTGACTCCATACACAGTTTCAAATGTAGATACGATAGAACCCAGTAGGCTCAGGAATCTGTGCACCCGTTGATTGACAGTTGAAAGGCGGGAACAAATAGCCAAAGTTCAACACCCCCCACCTCCCAAACACAACTAGGTGAGTACACACACACATATACAAACATTAATTCTCCAGCATGAATAAAAAGAATTAATGAGAGTTTAGCAAGAGTTGCAAGTGAAACTGTGCTGAAGGCCCCTCATAACACCGTGGGAACCTGGCGCCAGACATGGCTGACTTTTGTTGTCGGGATGTTGAACCCGCCTCCCCGCCCTCCCCGCCCTTCCCGCCCTCAGCGCCCTCAGCGCCCACAGCGCCCTTCCCGCCCTCAGCGCCCACAGCGCCCACAGCGCCCTCGCCGCCCTCAGCGCCCTCCCCGCCCTTCCCGCCCTCAGCGCCCTCGCCGCCCTCAGCGCCCACAGCGCCCACAGCGCCCTCGCCGCCCTCAGCGCCCTCCCCGCCCTTCCCGCCCTCAGCGCCCTCCCCGCCCTCAGCGCCCACAGCGCCCACAGCGCCCTCGCCGCCCTCAGCGCCCTCCCCGCCCTTCCCGCCCTCAGCGCCCTCCCCGCCCTCAGCGCCCACAGCGCCCACAGCGCCCTCGCCGCCCTCAGCGCCCTCGCCGCCCTCACCGCCCTCAGCGCCCTCGCCGCCCTCACTCAGTATAATATATTACCTCCAGATAAACACCACGGAGGTCAGAAAACTTGTTGAGTGTCCAGGACTTTTGAAAAAGACTGGTAGAGTGCACATGTCTTCTGAAGACGACTGGGAAAGTATACAATGTGTTTTGAATAAGGCTGATGAAGTGTACATGTCTGGTGAAGATTAATGGAGTAGTTTGTATTTGTAAGAATGATGTGGCGTATATGTTTAGGAACCCAGCTGCTTAGGATGTCCATAATACAAATTGTGTTCTCGAATTTGTCTTTTTGATAAGACTGACATTCCTTTAGTGTCCTGGACATTAATGAAGGAAATCTTCACCGCCAAAGACACTTTCAGGTGTGTGCAGTTTTATGTGAATATGTAAATACTCAGTGGAGGCAGCAACAGTTTAAGCAAATATTTAAGTGGGAAGGGAAAGCTATAAAGTTTGTTCTGAGACGAAGGTACTCGACAGGGCGCTTAAGAGAGGCGGACATCATTGGAATACCTTTGTAAACTAACGGACCTTTGGGTGGCGAGGTGGGCAAGTTTGCGGTGTGAGAGATAACACAACACGCACCACATTCCAAGATATTTTCCAAACACTATCTGCGTTGTATAAACACACCCACGCACACGCACTTGAACGCACGCTGGAAAAAATGGATTGACGAGTGAGTACGCACACATACCCAACACACTTATACATACACAGCACGCATGCGCATACACAGGCATCTGTACACACACACACACAAAGCTAATGAAGAATATAAAATATTAGGAGGACTTCAGAAGGTTACAGGATGACCTTGACAAACTCCAGGAGTCAGCAAACAAATGACTGCGAGAATGTAATCAAAATAAGAGTAATGAAGATGGGTTAGGGAGATCAGAAGGTATCTATTCCATAATGGGGAAGGCCACCCCACAGGACTCGGACAGAGGAAAGCACTTGCGAAGGGTAATAATTCCAACACTATCTCCAGAGTCACACATAAACAGTGCAGCATCAGCGGCACATGAGATGCTGACTAACATGACAACGTTTAGAAAATTAAACTGTGAGACTTTCACGGCCTTTCTTAGACAATCAAGACTTTTCTTAGATAATCAAGGCCTTTCTTAGACAATCAAGACCTTTCTTAGATAATCAAGGCCTTTCTTAGACAAATACTAGACTATACATTACCATCCTGGAATAAGCACCTTGTAAACCATAAAATAATAATGTAGAAGTGCAAGAGTTTGCAACAAGTTTAGTACCAGAGCTAAGAGGACTGAGCTATAAGGATACGTTAAGGGGACTAGACATTACAACCATGGAGGCAAGAAGAAGCAGAGGGGACATGATCGCAACATACAAGATTCTGAGGGGAATTGACAAGATGTTCGAGGACAAGAGAGATATAATAGATATGATACAGAAAAATAGGTCAAAAATCAGTATATTTGACAACCGATGGATAGAAAGGCGAGGTTAAAGAACTAGCAAATACATGTGTTCAAACTCACTCAATGTATTCATAAACACGCATGTGTTCACACACGCACGCAGAAACACACACACATGGGGCCTCGTAGCCTGGTGGATAGCGCGCAGGACTCGTAATTCTGTGGCGCGGGTTCGATTCCCGCACGAGGCAGAAACAAATTGGCAAAGTTTCTTTCACCCTAAGTTCCCCTGTTACCTAGCAGTAAATAGGTACCTGGGAGTTAGTGAGCTGTCACGGGCTGCTTCCTGGGGTGTGTGTGTGTGGTGTGGGGAAAAAAAAAAAAGTAGTTAGTAAACAGTTGATTGACAGTTGAGAGGCGGGCCGAAAGAGCAAAGCTCAACCCCCGCAAAAACACAACTAGTAAACACAACTAGTAAACAGACACGCACGCACACACAAGTACGCACAGATGATCATAAAAGTGGCTATTGGAGTTCAACACGAGCAAATGTAAAGTTATGGAAATGGGATTAGGTGACAAGAGACCAAAGGGACAGTACACAATGAAGGGAGAACTGCCTTCCTTTAACGATTCGAGAAAGAGACCTGGGAGTGGACGTAACACCTAATCTATTGTTCTGTACACTGGGTACAGTACAATAGTGGTGACACTGGTTACAGTACAATGTGTACTGCACTGTTGTACAGTAACCAGTACAGTGTAACCAGTACACTGTACTGGTTACAGTACAGTGTACTGCACATTAGCCCCCCAGCAGCTAATGTGCACCCCAAATGTATAACGTTTTACACTATTCATTTTGTAGAGGGCTCAGGAAAGAAGGCAACAATTAAGCTTATCTTTTCCTAGGCCTATTATACTAAATTTATCTTAATTGTATTAATAACTAATAATAATACTAATTGTACAAATAATATGTACTTAATCAGGTCTAATATTAAATATTTTAGGCCTAGGATTTCTTATTTAAGCCTTGAACAGATTAGGCTAGATAATCTAGCCTAATCTTTCTAATATTTAAGCCTTAGACGGATTAGGTTAGGTTGTTTCAGTTTTTGTTACGCCATTTAAAATTCAAATGGCAAAAAAACATGGATTTGTGTGTGGGGGGGGGGACAGTCATTAATTTGTTTATTATATCCAGACCAACCTGTCCTCCTACAACCTGTCCTCCTACAACCTGTCCTCCCACAACCTGTCCTCCTACAACCTGTCCTCCTACAACCTGTCCTCCTACAACCTGTCCTCCCACAACCTGTCCTCCTACAACCTGTCCTCCTACAACCTGTCCTCCCACAACCTGTCCTCCTACAACCTGTCCTCCTACAACCTGTCCTCCCACAACCTGTCCTCCTACAACCTGTCCTCCTACAACCTGTCCTCCCACAACCTGTCCTCCTACAACCTGTCCTCCTACAACCTGTCCTCCCACAACCTGTCCTCCTACAACCTTTCCTCCTACAACCTGTCCTCCTACAACCTGTCCTCCCACAACCTGTCCTACAACCTGTCCTCCTACAACCTGTCCTCCTACAACCTGTCCTCCCACAACCTGTCCTCCCACAACCTGTCCTCCTACAACCTGTCCTCCTACAACCTGTCCTCCTACAACCTGTCCTCCTACAACCTGTCCTCCTACAACCTGTCCTCCTACAACCTGTCCTCCTACAACCTGTCCTCCTACAACCTGTCCTCCTACAACCTGTCCTCCTACAACCTGTCCTCCTACAACCTGTCCTCCTACAACCTGTCCTCCCACAACCTGTCCTCCTACAACCTGTCCTCCCACAACCTGTCCTCCTACAACCTGTCCTCCTACAACCTGTCCTCCTACAACCTGTCCTCCTACAACCTGTCCTCCCACAACCTGTCCTCCCACAACCTGTCCTCCCACAACCTGTCCTCCTACAACCTGTCCTCCTACAACCTGTCCTCCTACAACCTGTCCTCCTACAACCTGTCCTCCCACAACCTGTCCTCCCACAACCTGTCCTCCTACAACCTGTCCTCCTACAACCTGTCCTCCTACAACCTGTCCTCCTACAACCTGTCCTCCTACAACCTGTCCTCCCACAACCTGTCCTCCTACAACCTGTCCTCCTACAACCTGTCCTCCTACAACCTGTCCTCCCACAACCTGTCCTCCTACAACCTGTCCTCCTACAACCTGTCCTCCTACAATAAAGTCGCATTTCGCTCGAATGTAGAGGGCCCAAAAATTATCGTACTAGAAAATGGAAGCGGCTGGCGAAAGTGACGTACTGTCCCGTTTTCTGTTTTAGGTCCTCTGGTAAGTCAGGAGAGACCACTTTAAATTGACCGTTTTCTTTACGTTGGGAAACCTTAGGAGGACGGGTCGCCAGAGAAGGTATAAGTACAACCATATTTGTGTAATGGGTTACAATCTGTTTACGCTACACATGATTTGTTTTGATAATGAGTGAGGCTTATTGACAGATGACGGAGCGGGGTTGCCAGATGCTGCTGGCGACTGTGGCGGCGACGGTGGCAATGGCAGCGCTGACAACTTCTGCCAGAGGCAAAATAGGTGGGTCCTTGTCTACTGTGTTTCCCTTAAATATAATATTTCATATGGTAATCTACGGAAATTAAACTATTACTTTGGACGGGACTCCATTATTTTCTTACATTCATATCCCTCAATTTGGAAGTTCCTTTGTGAGTAGTTATTCCTTCAAAACGAGTTGGGGTTAAATAATATCTTAAGATATCCGCCGATTAAGTGATATATAACTAGCTAAACCATTTCAGAAGACTTTATGAGTATATGAAGGTATTCCTATAAGAAGTGAATCTCTAGTACAAATACAGTTTTCTTGAGTAATTCATATTTTTGAAGCAAGGTTGAGAGGCCTTTACCACAAGGCGAAAAACAGCCCTAGGGCCAGATTCACGAAGCAGTTACGCAAGCACTTACGAACTTGTACATCTTTTCTCAATCTTTGACGGCTTTGTTTACAATCATTAAACAGTTAATGAGCTCCGAAGAACCAGGAGGCTGTTTATAACAATAACAACAGTTGATTGGAAAGTTTTCATGCTTGTAAACTGTTTAATAAATGTAACCAAAGCCGTCAAAGATTGAGGAAAGATGTACACGTTCGTAAGTACTTGCGTAACTGCTTCGTGAATCTGGCCCCTAGAGGTTTAACCAGCTACTTAGTAGATAAGTGAGCGTGAGAAGATTACTTTTAAGTATTACTTGTTACTTATTTACTCTGAATTGTGTCACGGGCTATTCATGCCCGTGCCACCTCTTGGGTGGCTCAATCTTCATCACTCAATCAATTTTGATTATAAACTCAGTTGACAACTATAGGATACTTCCTGGTTGGTCAGCAAGCTATTGTGGTGGCCTTAATTACCTACTGCTTTTGACAGACTTAACACCAAACCAATATTACATTAGTTCTCCATAAATATACTACAGGTACAGTTTTCTTCTGTAATAGACGTTATATTATTTGTAATATGTGTGTATGTTTCCAGACTTTCGCTATCCCGATGCTATAGTGAAGCCGAGAGTGAAGTGTTTGAGAGAGGGAGTCTTCCCTCACCCCAGGAATTGTACGTGGTACTACAGGTAAGTCTGTACCTGGTGGTACAGTAAGTCTGTACCTGGTGGTACAGTAAGTCTGTACCTGGTGGTACAGTAAGTCTGTACCTGGTGGTACAGTAAGTCTGTACCTGGTGGTACAGGTAAGT